GTTTATCAAACTCTCCTAAGCTTGTCTTCCTGAAAATACGTGGAGTAAGTGATCAACAAGGTTCCTTTCAGTACTATTTTGAATTTGAAATTTGAAAATTAACAGATCTGTCATATCATACTTACAGTTAAACATCTGGGTGTTTATAATAAATTATTAACTTATTGACTTAAATCACTGAGAGAAAAAAAGTCTTCCAATTAGAAGGACTGGTGTAACAGATCCTGGTATCCGCATCTGCCTGCTGTTCTTAATTTTCTACAGCTTTCCATTGTTCAAGAGTTGCTTCAGCATAAAATAAATTGAGCTCCAATATGTGATGTGTGTTTCATTAATATTTTGGCACATTCCTTACCAGCTGTACTTTGATCAGAATTAAAAAGACAAAAGTCCAAGGAAAAGCAGTTTTAGTCTCTTACAGACCACACAGGAATACATATTTCAAACAGGCTACATTTTGAAGGAAGGACATAGTGGTGTATTATATTGTTCACATTGTGAGGTCATTAGCATTTTAACACTGTGATTGTTAAGAGAAGTGTCTGAAAAATCTATTCTTTGCTAGATATTATGTGTTTAAAATTGGCTTTCTGGGGGTAGGACATGTGTCTTTTATTTGAATATTTTCCTGTAAGACTTAATCCTCTGGTATCTATCTGTGTGTACTGAAAAATAATTAAGAAGACTATATGTCATAAGACATTTTGGAATAAAAAGGTATATAGATAGCTTGATACTAATTTTTTCCCAACTAATTATCTGTAAATATAACTTTTAAAGAATCTGAAATTCCCTGAACTGGCTTTGAACTTTACATAATGCCAAGTGTGAAAAAAATTGAACCAGAAAATTAGAAAAATGTATTTAAGCCATAGGATTAAACGTGTAGCATACAATGATGATTAATCACCATATGAAAAAATCTGGTTCAGGTAAACAACAAGCAAAGTGAAATCTATGTCAGAGCCACTCGAAGGGTGGTCTGTGGACCTTTGATACCTGCCCATGACAAGGACAGGAAGTCTTAGGAAATTTGATGTCACTCTACTACTTTTACTGTATTTTACAAGAGGATTAGTCCATAATGCACTGGAAATCAAACAAATTATATAAAAAACAAACATACTAGTCCTTTACTACAGGCAGTTTGAAGACAACTGGTCCATAATAACTAACTGCACCATCAAACTCTTACACTGAGTTTCCATTTCAAAGATTAAAAACTAATATTCTCAAAGAACACCCAACACACAAGATGTTTATGTTCTTTCAAAATGAGGGGACATCCCTGCCCTCTGGAAACTTGACATCTGATGAGAAGCAATGTTTTCAGGTACTTTCCCCTTAAACTACAATGTCAAAGTAATTATATTTAGGGAGATCAATCAACCAACCAACCAATCTATCTCTCTCCCTCTCTCTCTATCAAGTGAGATGCTTGGACAAATGCTATAAACAAACACTACATACACAGTGAAAATAATTAAAGTACAAAATTTGCCAAAAGAAAACCTAATTACCACTTTTAGATGACATAAAAATCCCGAACACTTTACAGGCATCATAAAGTTTGTTTCTGTAGTTAATTTAAAAAACCAAACCAAAACAAAAGCCTAAAACATACTTACAATCCTACTTAAGGATTATTCTTCTTTAACATCACATAGCACAGCTAACGTGGACATGCATCTTTAATTGCATGAATAAAAATACAGTAGTAAGAATCTTTGTCAGATTCCTTACTTAAAAATACTAAAACACTTAATAAAAGAGAATTATAAAGGACACACAATTTAAGAAGGTTTCAAGGCATATGGTACAGAAATTATGTTAACAGGTAAAACTGCTGTAAGCTGGCCTTTACTCTAGGTTCTTTTATTTGAATGTATAAGGAGGGCGTGTACCATTCTCTAAAGTGGGTCTTTTCCCAGAGGTGCTAGTTGGCAGATAAAAAGCAGACTATTGATGGTCTGCATGTAGCAGGCAGAATTGGCATTGTAGCAACACTAAAGAGTGTTATAAAAACTAATGTTTAAGTTCATGAATGACCTGAGGCTTAGTGTGGCCCCATTTATTCTTTCAGAAACACTGCCATTCCTTTTTTCCTTCAAGGAATCCTGGAATGTCAGCTCAGTGGGTGGCGCTGCCTCTGGGTAGCTTCTCACTTACTGACTTAGCTGGAAACCAAGTTTCAAGATCAAAGTAAAAGACCTAATTGAACAAACAATGCAGGGAAGACAAGAATGATATCTCTTACACAGGTGGGACTGCCTGAAGCTGTTACCAGGTAGATGGCTGCAGTGACAAACATTCTGTATTACTAAAAGATAAGGCCATGCTAATAGCTGTCTGATGTCCTGAGCCGTCCAGACAGAAGCAGAATGACCCAAATGGGTAAGTACAACTGTTTTTTAATGGTATTTACTTGCATACTTGACACTCTTTTATCCCTACTTTTAAAGCTCAAAACCAGGGTGCAGTAAATATGTGAGGACAGTAGGGTAGGGGCTAGTCTCCGTTTTTCCCTTTTCTGACTGTTTAGACCTGAGACCATGGTCTGGTCACCGATCCTGATCCTTCTTCCAGCCCAGGTTCCAGCAAAGCTGAGGGGCCAGTCACACTTGCTCTGTAAACTCTGACAGTAGAATATGAACTGTAGCCATCCACACCACCTTTGATGACGCCAAGCGGGAGGCGCTCTACTCTCAAACGGAGGAACACTAACACTCCTTCTACAAGCCGGGTGGGCATCAGTAAGCACTCATGGTGCTGAGTTCAATTTGTTTTTTGAGCACTCTTTCTGTACCAGGCCCTATGCCAGATGTTGAAGATACACACACACACTTCACGTCACAGTGTTAAGCGCAATGAAGAACATAACGCTAAAAGACATAGTCCCTAACAAATAGATACGCACGAATAAGCAGAAATGCTGTAAGAAAATACACAAACATTTTAAATCCCCAAACTTCCATCTCTCTCTGAACTCAGGCCTCCCCTGGTGAAAGAGTAAAGGCAGATAATTGCTAAATTCATTTCCAGTTCAAAAATTCTAGGATGCTTGGCTTTAACAAGAACATTTCCTGTTTAATTTCACCAGTCCCATCAAGTAGTTCAATAGTTTTAACTTTACTAAATACTACAAAAATTTCAATAAGGCAAAAACACCATAAGGAGAGATTAAAAAAAACAACAAATTATAAGCAACGTAAGAGTTCTTATAAAACCAAAATAAATATGAACACCATTGAAAATAAAGAAATGTGCATTTCCAATGCTATTATCAAAAAATATTAGATTCTTCTGCATGCAATTGATTCCTTATATGGTTCCCTATATAACTGACATAGAGTAAGTGCTCTGTAAATATTTGTTGAACAAATGAATTCAATCTAACCAAAATCAAAGGGCCAATCAAAACTTTAAAAGATCTAAACAGTGTGCAAGGTTTAGAGTAATGATATTACTTGTCTGTGGTAAAGACATAGTGACTGTGGCAAGCCGAATTACTTTCCTGAGGGCAGTGTACAAAGAATAGAAATAAAGCATAATTATCTATTGAAAATGTTAACAGTGGTTGGATTACAGGTGAAAATCTATATTTTTCTTTACTTTCAGACTTTCGGTGAAAACAAATTTCCTTGATATACTAAAAAAAAACAAAAGGCCTTTTCTGTTTAGGGGTAAACACAAGCAAGGTGGTACCTGGGCTGGAGTGTTTGCAGTCACAGGAGATGGCGATTCACTGACTTTTGGCTCACTTGGGGAGGCGGCTGACCCCTGTGACTCCTGGCTGGCTGGCTGGTCTGGAGACAGAGCATCACTGCTGTCTTCATCAAATGAGAAATCGCCCTGAGTTTGGGGATAGTCCTCCTTCCCAACACCTAAAGAAAGAAATGATTCTTAACTTCTCTTGGCTTTGGAATACAAGGGTAGAATGAAAAAGGAAATACTGTTTATTATAAGGACTTGAGAAGCTAAAAACTGAACATAACGTACTTCCTTATAAAAGAACACACAACTACCTGTGATGAATACTTGGAGGGAAAAAACCCAACCCGAACGAGATCAAGCCTTTGGATCCAACTACTAGTTACAGGAAGTAAAAGAGACAAGAAAGTATTTAATGACACCTGGGGATGCAAATGCATTCAGAAAAATCCAGAATGTGGAAATGCTAGGGGATACAACAAACCCGTTCATCAGCAAATAAAAAGTAAGAAAAGAAAGGAGGAGGAAGACCCACCCAGGAGATTAAGACATATTAGATTAGATGTATCAGCCACAGGCAATGTGTGGACCTTGTCTGGATCCTGATTTGGAACCCAACTGCTAAAAACCATTATGAGGCAGTGGAGAAATTGGGGCTATGACTGGGTATCTGTTGGTAAGTCCCACGTCATGGGGCAGCCTAGCGGTACTGACAGCTTACCTTACGGGGCCCATGTCTTTGGGACTGAATGAAGAGTTGATTATACTACTTTGAATTACTGACTACAGATTGCCTAAGATTTAATCTCATACTAATGCAAAATATGAAGTCCCCATGAGTAATGGAAACTATAATAGTTTTGAAAGTAGGATATTAACTTCAAGATTGCATGCTGAATAACTGGCATTATTCTGGGGAAAAAATTTTTTTTATTCTAAAGCTTATGCCAGAAAAAAGGGAAAGCATTAGTAGCTAAGTATGATAAGACTGGGATAAAACGGCTAGATTCTACCATTCTTTTTTTTTCCCCATATATATTTTTTCCCCATATATATATATATGTATTTTTCCATATATATATATATATATTTTAATAAAGTACAGTCAGTGAACACATCTACGTGCACCTGCTGTTCACCTTGCTGAACACTGAATAAACTATTTATCTTTTCTAGAAGTAAACTGAACTAAAATAAGGAAGTCTGTAAAAATCTTAAACAAAACAAATTTATAATATTGTAAACATTATAATACAGTAAGTTTAACTTAGAAAATGTGACCACAAAATCAGAACTTAAGGACTTAAACCTGAGATATAACAAGAGGAATCTCTGTGTTAACTGGTAGGAGCTGCTCGTCTTGTAATACATAATAGAGTAACAACAATAATGAGAATCAGTGCAAATATTGATCAACTTCTAATTCACCCAAAAAACAATACTCATGATTGGTGCTGGCTTTTTAAATTAAATTTGTTTTATCTAAAACTTCCAAGTTTTCTTTCTCTCCCAGAAAATAGTAAATGTTCAGTCTTGCCTATAATTGCTTCCTTAACACTGGAGTCTACAGGAAGGATGTTTTTCTCTACCAGCTCCATGGGACCAGGTCTTTGAGCAATCTTTTCATTCAGATCATCAGCTAGTCGAGCTCTTTTCAACTTCATCTGAGTAGCCTGCAGGGATGGCTCTGCAAATGTTTCTAAAAGAGGAAACATAGTTTTAACCATTATTTGAATTACTATCTCTATTCCATAATGTTATTCCAGGCCAACTAATTTAACTTAAACTGGTTTGAACATATTTATGGAGAGAAAATGACTAAGAACGCTCCCGTATACAATTTACATCTTTAGCACTGGATACCGTTGTATTGTCTACACGATATGGATGCCCTAGGAATCAAATTGACATGAACTCAAGCCAAAAATGGGGTACTGCTATTGCTCATTTATGGTAGGAGGGTCAAATTTACATTTATTAGGTATTGGGGATACAGAAGATGCACACGAGAGATGGGGTCCATGGCTCAAGAAGTTTACAGTTTTAGATCTGGCTTCATTGGAAAGTCAATTCCTAGAAGGTGAGACACTACCTCAGGATATAAGCTTCTCTGGTGGGAAGAGCTACAAATCATAATCTTAGATTGATCCCGCCTGTCTCAGAGTCCTTCAGCATAATTAAGAATTTGAGTTTATTTCTGAATACATAACAACCTTGGAACATTCAATTACACAGTAATTAATGGTCAAATAGAAGCATGAACTCACCTACTCACAAATGCATTAAGTTGTATAACAGCTGTGAAACTACTTTAAATATCGTAACTCATTCATTTGCACAATTCTGTCAAATATTTGTGTTTCTGGTAATTCTCATTAATATTTTATTATGTTATTCCAAATAATGACTGTAACTGATTAAAGATAATGATGAAGTTATTAGTCCAATGTTGAGTTGAACGTTGCCGGCCCCTGAAATCATTCAATAGAAGGTCTTTTTATAAAATTCCCCTGAGTAACCTCAGGATTATCTGATGTTCTTCATTCTGTGGGTTAGATGTCCTGGCTGAGGCCCAAAGAGCACTAAGACCCCACAGCCGATAAACTGCCCTCCAGCACAGCTGAGTACTTCTCTTTCCACCAGCTGAGCTATGTGCTTACCAAAAGCCAATCTTGATTGTCTGCGAAGTAGTTCATAACTATTGTGATTGCTGTCATCAACACATAAGTTAACTAAAAGTTACGGGAAAATCATAAACTTCAAAAATAAAATGATTATCTCTTGGAAACCTGAGCTAAATTCTTTGGGGTGACTTGATACAGGTGAGTCATTAAAAAATTCACTGTCACATTACCTAGGGCAATTAATATCTGAAAAGATTTGGGAAAAAACTATAAAATCTAGGATCTTTAAACTCAGATTGCTTTTCAACTGTCTTTAAGTTTTGTTCCACCATGAATGGAGATGATGTACATGGCTATACTTGACACAAGAAAGATGTGAAGTCCATTCATTAAAGCCTTCACACACGTGAAGGTCTTACCCCTAAGTGGGGATACTGGCAAATAAATGCACATTCCTCTAAGTTAAAATAATAGGTATGTCCACCTCATTTTTATAATTTTCCTGTATAAACAACTACGGCCCCAATCTTGTTGGATAGAACACTTCTAACCACACAGAAAGATGACAGGTGGGGAGAATTAGATCATGCAAGTCTCTCTCAGTTTGATGTTTAAATGCTTTTGTTAAGATCTAGGTAGGGATAGTCTTCTGTTTTTCCCTCTCTCGTATTGACATTATCTAAGTGGTAGCAGGAGTATGTCTGGGAAGAAAACATTCCAAAAGTAAATAATTAGAGGCTGGCATTTTGGTAGGCTTCTGTTCCTAGTCTTATTGCCCCTTTATCTCTGTGAGGCTGAGGCTGGATTTCAGCTGCTGAACTTCAGGAAATAATTTAGACTTTTGCCTGCCAAACATCCAATTCAATCAAAACCGGGATAATGTTAAAATAAGTTGGGGGTGGTTTTCAGGTATTTTTTTAAATTACAGATGACACATTCCTTCTGACTTTCAAAATCTCAACTTCAGAACAGATGTCCTAAAAGCATCACTTATGGTTCCCTCATACACATAGCTCGGTTTTTAAATGTTGGATAGTCTATTTTCGGAAAAAGCAAACATGACTCCTTTTGATAGTTAAATGTATTTGCCTTGGTTTTAATTATATTAATAAAGCCTGTTACAGTTAGAAGGCAAGTTGAAACAGACAGCATTCTTCCTACAAAAATGTCCCTTAAAGGTCAAAATATTTTCAGGCCCAGAAGGAGCCATTCACCCAGTTACTTACCAGCAAACTTGCTTCTCTGAAGATTCACTTATCCCTGACAGCTGGTAGCTGCTCCTACCCCACCACTGGGGTTCTGGAAAAGCTTTTTTAGTCCAGGAGACTTCTGAGAACACAACCCACAGCACAGAAAGGCACATACCTCTCACCTTCCACCCCAGATATGAAGACAGTCACATAATCATGGATTACTTAGATTAGAAGAGACCCTACTTGGGGTCACAGAGACCAACTTGATACTTAGAACTTCTTTACAATATCCTTAATGTGTTAGCCTTGTGTTTATTCGCTACTGAGCATTTCTCACATTCTGTAATTTATTTGTTTTGCCTGTTTATTATCTGTCTCTGCCACCAGAATGTAAGCTCCATGAAGACGGGGCTTCTATCTGGCTTATTTGAGTCTCTGGTGTCCAGCTTGCCAGCCAATGGACAGACGCCTCTAATGATGGCAACCATATAACTCTGTGAAGATTTTATTTTTGGGTATATCTGACGGAGCTTTAGGATATTATTGCCCATGTTGAGCTATAATCTAATTATAATATCAACCTAATTCTAATACTAACTCTATTATCAGGCCAGAGAAAACAAATCTAATCTTCCTCCTGCCTACTAATTGTCTCTAAATGTTTGAGAAGTTTTCAGAGTCTTTCTGTATCTTCTCAAGGTTTAACATTCTCAAGACTATCAGAAGGTCAAGTTCCCACTCTTGTTCAATAAAGTAGTGAAGCAAAATGATGAAAGAAAGTGTAACTTGGGAAGTTATGGTGGAGACATCAGCTTTCAAGAATGCTGTGTCTTTAGAGAGAAAAACATCATGGCCTGAGCCACATGTCTCACCCAAGATGGAATGGAGCTGTCCTTCACAGCTTCATAAGAGATGAGATGAGGCTAGGTCGTCCAGAAAATGTGGCAGGCTGAGGGGAGCTTGTTTATGATAATGGTCAGATTGAGCTGGCTTGTTGTGGGTAAGTAGCAACAAAGAGAAAATGCTAGGTATGGGCATTGCCCCAGGTAGACAGTGACAGGGTCCAAGAAGCCGAAAATCTCCAAGATTAGACTTGTGGCTCTCATACCCTTTATGACTAATGAGTGGGCACATGTCCCTCACTGATGAAGAAATCCTTTGGACTGAAAATGTTTTTCCAGAACAGAGTATGGTAGAGACACCTATAGCACCCCCAGCTGGAGGGGAAGGGTCAGTCCATCAACTGGTTATTTGGAGAATCAAACCTTCCCCATATGTCTAACATAATATTTTAGCTCTGGGTCTTCATGTTGCTATCCAATTTGGAGGATGTCTGCCTGTGGGGTAAAAAGTTATTAAGATGGGAATAAACAGAAATGGTGGAATTCTCACGTCTTTTCTTGAGAAAATGTAGCAAAATAAGCAGAAACAGAACTCTTACCTTCTAAAATGTGCATCCTGACAAGTTCAGAACGATCTGGTCGGCTCCGGATCTTGTGCTTCAAAAAGTTTTCGGTCTTAAAAAAGAGAGAGTAAAAGTCTTACCACAATTGTTTATGATTTATTGTGGTTTTACATTTTTTTCTCAAGGTACTCCATTGAAATAAATTATATACCCATTTGGTCATGATTTTGAAAGGAAGAGTAGACATTAGTACTTAGACTATTATCCAAAACATGATTTAAACTGCAGCCTTTAAAATTGTACAGGGATTTGAAGCATATGCTGGTATAAAGTAAGCACTTTATAGATTTTTATTTTAAAACTTGGAAAAGGCAAAGGCTCATAATTTTGAAGATGATTTTTGAACAGAGGACTCTGATCATTTAAATATTCAAAATCAATAAAATCTACACTTCAGGTCAAGTAAAAATCCATCTAGATAACACATTTCCTCAAAATCCTAATGTATTTTCTTTGAAAAGTTCATATTCCTTAATCATATTTTCTTATTCAGAACTGTATTCAATTGTAAACAATAGGGCTTTAAAATGGGTTTTATATTTTACAAGACTGTAAGAAATCATTATTGCATTCTGGGAAAATTCTCAAGGAAGTTTTAGAACATGCTTATTTTCATACTGCATGATAGAAGTTTCCCCTAAAACAAAAAGAACAAATAATGGCACTTATAAGGGAAAATAATAAACATCAATTTGATGTGCAACTATGATGGAATCATCTCAAAGAATAAAACAGAGCTGAATACAGCAATATTCCTTATTTAGCCAAATTCTCCTACCCTTGGTCAAATGCACTGCTGACAAAGACCCAGCAGGGAAATCCCCTAAGGAAGGATCTGGTGTCACGTCATTATTTGGGCTGCCCATCTGCAGGGGTAACAAATTACTCCAGTATTATTCTAAAAACGGTTATGCCCCAAAATTAAGTGTAAAAAAAAAAAAGAGTAAAGAAGTGTGATTTGTCCTTTATGTACAAAACTAGTTACTAGTTTTAAAAGAACAAAATTTGAATGTCAAGTATTTTCTACAAACCTCCAAGATAGAACCACCCCAGAATATATTACTCTAAATACCATGGATCCTTAAAATACACTACATTTTCTCTATTGACATATTTAGGAGTAAGACTGTTACTTGTCCACAGGTACTTTAATATAAAATAAAGAAGCAGAACATTTTAAACTGAAATTTCTTACTCTGGCTCGTTCCAAGCTTTTTATCTGCTCATGGAATGCCGCTGGGCTCTTCAAAGCTGTGAGAGGAAAAGAAATCATTTCCGTGATATAAATAGGAGAGTTAATACTTCAGTCAAATGTTACAGTATATCTTGTTGATATTTCCTCTTAATCTTATTAGCGTGCTTCTACAGTCCTATTTGTTTACTAGTTCCCTTAGGAGAGCTGCAAAATTGAAACCTTAAATGTTTCAGAATGGAAATTATGTATTTCACAAATAAAACAAGTGAATATTTAAAATAGAGTCGAATACATAACGACAATGCAAATATCAGGTCAGATTAGTTCCAGCCCAGAGTTGGGGCAAATTACCACAACCAAGGAAATGGTCTGAAGGTTTCTTAATAGGTCTTTGCTCTTAATGGCCATCTAAGCTACTGGAAAAAGCCCACATGTCCTCAGGACATTTAACCTTGGAGTGATCTAGCCTGAATATGAGGAATCTCTGTACTCCATGTCTACCAAATAGGAGTCACCATTTACTGAGAGCCCACGATGGGCTTAGCTCTGAGCTCTGTGGTCAATCACAGTCATACTGCTGTTGACCATCACAAAAGCCTTGGAAGGTAGGTAATACTTTCAGTGTAGGTGAAAGGCTCAAAGAGGTTAAATGAATTCTTGAAGTCATATAGCTAGATGGTGATCAAAGTGGGGTTTAAATCTAGAATTTTGAATTTGGAAGGTACATACTCTTTCTACCATACCACAATGCAATTCACTCTGAAGACATAGTTATTCTTTAATATGTTAACTGCTGGTATATTAAATATCCCAGAATCCCAGAGAGAGGGTAGGCATTGTTTACTAAAACATCACCTACTATAACATTTCTATCAATTATCTCTGCAAAATCTTTTGTATGTCCACCACTGTCTGATTACACTGCATTTGTAACAGTGGGCAGTCAGATGATGTGGATGGGATACCAGACTAGGCTTACTTGGGCTGTCACCTCCCCAACTTGACCAATCAGCTCTTGGTAACACTCTTTTCAGCTCTGGTACTTAAAGCATTACAAAGACTCACAGAAGCCCAGCCCAAACAGGTTTAGCTAGGGACCAGCTAGTCCTAAAAGCAGACAACAGCTGGTTTAGCAGAGGTGTTTTAAACATCATAGTTTGATCCAGTTTGATTGGTTCGTATCAGGAATGCAGTGGTGGAGAAATCTGGTGGATTATCAAACCAGCTTCTGAGAGCTGGTTTTATCACAATGATAGATTTAAAATACTTACATACTGAATATTAGTCCAGAAAAAAAAGTTTCAGTGGTAAAAAAAAATCTGCTGCAGAGAAAAAGTTTCTTATCACAAACCAAAAAAAAAAAAAAGGCAATAGCAATGATTCTGAAGACTGGGGAGCATAAATGCATTCTGTAATTTCTTTCTAGTTTTTTTTAAAGCCAAATACATTACTTCTTGGAGACATCAAGTTTTAGACAAAAATCCATGTAAATATCCTAACAGCCTACATAAAACAACCACTCTAGTCCTGTAAAATATAAAATCACCTCCAAACTTGGTGATTAAAAATAAAGAAGGTACTTGGACAAATATCCTAAAATTAACCCTCAAAAATGAAGGAATGAAGACTAAAGCTACTTGAGACAATATCCATACTTGGGCAAGAAAAGGTTTTATTAATTATAAATAAAATGTTTATTAGTACTATAATTGAGATACATTTAATTATATAAACCATATAGAGCATCAAAGATAATTAATTTGAATTAAATAAACTAAAGTGGAACCAGGTTTTGAATTAATTTATCATGTTGCCTTGCAAGTCTAAGTACCACTGAATTCATTATCTAGAGTGATTATTTCAGTTATTTTAAAATTAAAACTAATGTTAGAGTAAGAACTGATGTCAGTCTACTGCAGAGTTCTAAAGGTGCTCTTTGATAATTAAAATTCAAGTCCATCTTTTAAACTGCATCTGGTTTCCAAAATGTATTTTAAATGATTCCATTAGGTTGGCAGTGCTGATGCCTGGTTTTTCCTTATAAACTCATTGAATAATTGTATACGTATTAAATGGATACAAGGGAAAGCAGAGTGTGATACAGCTTCTCCTTAGACACGCCCATTCACATCAGAAATGACAATGACACTTGAGTCTTACGTGGCATGATGCCCTGGTCCACTAGCTGTTCTCTCGTCCTCCTTTGCTGCAGCCTCAGCTGGAGCACTGTGAAAAGGAAGTAATCACCATTGGAGTTTGCAGGCAACTGGAGGATCCAACTTACAAAGTTCCAGAGGAGATACAATTAAGCTTTATTAAATATCTTCTATTTCACTACTGAATAAGGATACCACCTGGCACCATTCAACTAGTAAAAAAAAAAAAAATCAGCTTGTTATTTCTGCCTGTTTGGTGAACGCTGAACTTCTCTCAGCTCATTTTTTGTTCAGTCAGTTAATAATCTTAATTTGATGATTAAAGCTAAGAATTTATTGTTTAAATACAATCATGTAATACTCAACAAATAAACAAACATAGTTGGCTTATACATTGTGTTATTTGTAGAAACATAAATGTGAAATTTCTTGATATTCCTTACTTGAAAAAAAAACAAGTAAATAGCAAAAATGTATTTTAAGGAGAGACTGACATATTTGGAGGAACTTATTACATCTGGAAGAAACTTTAAATAGCTCTAATGAAGGTAAACTTCATTAAAAAATTAGACCTATGAGATATTATTAATGACCCAAAGGGAAATTTCTGAAATAAGACCTTAAAGCTTAATAATCGTTGTACAAACATAAAACTATCTCATTCTGTAAGTTCTAAGAAAGCCAATCAATCGATACCTAATCATTTAAATTAAAAGAGTAAATAAATCATCAGAACTTGTAGAAAACAAGGTTACATCACAAAATGTGGAAATTCAGTTTGCCAAATTTAATAAAAAATATTTTCCCCCTAGATTTCTGAAGCAGATTCTTTTCATAGCATCCCTATGTTTTTGTCTGGAAAATGAATCAATCTCAAAAAAAGAGTAATATATGAAGTAACTTTGAAGAATATTTTCCTTGGTTTACCTTACATTCAATTTTAAGTTTCCATTTTTAATTTTTGTTTCAAATCATGGATGAAAACCAACGTTAGGATTATTAAGGGTCCACTTAAGGGCTGTCAATATGCAAACCCCCCCCAAAAAACTCAAACCAACCAACAAACAAAAAAACCCAAACCTATGTGTATTTCTTAAATTACAGGGAATGAAGACAAGTTTTTAGCAAGGGGGTGATGGCTAGAACAAGAGGCTGGCTTGGACCAGTCTCTCACCCAGGCTCAAATGCAGTGCACATAATGGCTCCTACTTGCAATCCACCCCGAGGCCTGAAGACGCAGGGCCCTCGTAGCCTCGGCTTTTTGCTTGCTCTTGTGCTGACCGCAGAGCAGAGCACCATCTTAGATATACTTCAAAAAGAGTCTTGACTGTAAAATGGCTTTTAAATACATTTTTGTATTCATTGCTAGATGTGAATGTCATCCTTTATTAAATACTGAAAAAAATCTTTTTCCTGATTCTTTTGGAGGCCAAAGGATCACAACGCTTTACTGACATCCCATTTAGAACTGAAGCAACTAACGTAAGATTCTATTATACAAAGCAAAAGAATCAAAAAAATATATGCACGTTTCTCACATTAAAATGTTTTGTGATTCTCTGAATCAATTATGCTCTAACACAAAGATCTTTTCCCTGATAACTTAGTTTATCGAGAATAGGATGTTTCCACTGTAATTATAGGAACAAAAATAACCAAGGAGATGACCTGTGGATCTGACAGCACCCAAATGCCTGCATACTCCGACATTCTGCTATGAAAGCTGAAGTTAACGCCTGTCTGAAATTAA